AACCTTAATATTAAAATAGCATATTTTTGAATACGGTAGCCATTTTCGCATAGCAGATAGGTCGTCGGGACAAATTTTTTTAAATTTTTAAAAAAATTATGTTGATTTTTCAAAAAGTTATAGAAGTTTTAAGAAAAAAAAGTGAAAAAATTTCGAAAATTAGCGATTTTTAAATTTGTAATTTTTTTGGATATTTCCCCCATTTGCGGGGAACGAGGGAATTTTTTTCAATTTTTAAGGGTAATGTCTTCAACTAGATACGATTTGTGATCNGGATATTTCCCCCATTTGCGGGGAACGAGAGTATTTTTTTCAATTTTTAAGGGTAATGTCTTCAACTAGATACGATTTGTGATCTTTTGACGTATTTTTGAAAGAAATCGGTCCAGTGAGAGCTGAAAAAAAGTGGCAACAGACATAAAAAAAAAAAAAACACATCATAGTAAAATTAATACCTTCTCCGCTTCGCATCGAAGCTAAAACACATGTTTTATCGAATTTGTATTTAAAACGAAAAGTTTCATTTAAATCAAATAAGCGATCGCCTTTAGTAATAACTGGTTCTTATCTTAATTTGCGCTAACGGTGTTAGCCGTACATCAATAATCGTGACTATTACTTGAATATCAGCAAACTGGACAGTTATTATTAAATATTTAATATTTCCGAGAGGATATATAGCGCTATCTTTACGTTTATAAATTAACAAAAAATCGGTTGCCAATTGTCTGAATGCCGTGGCCTATCTATGTGTATTTAATCTATGGTAATACTCTATGAAAATTTTTTTGATATATCTTATCTTTAATCTGTTTTTATTTATTATAATTTAGTAGTTATAATAGATAATTTATTTGTTTTTGTTAATTTGTTTTTGCGTGCTCTAAATAATAGTAATGAAAATATGACTAAAAAAAGGCAGGAATTGTTTTTAATTTTAAATAAAATAAATTTTACATTGTTTATAATTTATATTTATTTTAAAAATTATTTATAACTTATTTGTTATTAGTATTTAGGTATAAATTATTTTTTCTTAATAGCTTAAAAGTTGAGAAATTAAATCAGCTTATGTTCACATCATTATTTTATTAGCTTCGATGCAAAGCTGAGAAGGTATTGGTTTTACTATGATGTGTTTTTTTTT